CGTGGGAGCCCGAGGAAGAGATGAGGGAGCACTACCCAGAGTTGTTTCCAGAGATAGCAGAATTCGAGGACGGAGTCTAAGATAAGTGGGGGAGAATTGTAACACCCCGTTCCTGGTACGTATTAATTTATTAAATGTCTTTCTATAAAGAGCTACTCGACGAGTAGTAGCCGTAACTCGTCGAGTAGATGCCAGGATTGGACGCGGGTTTAAGTGACCTACTCGGCGAGTCCGCGCCTTGACTCGACGAGTAGGCCAGTCTGGATGAAACCCTAATTCTTAGGGTTTGTACCCTATTTAAACATCCTTATAGCCCCCATCCCGGCCTCCAGCACCTCTAGAGCGTTACCCCTCGAAACCCTAGCCCTCCATTGGTGAGTTTGAGTGATTCCTTCTTGATTTTGAGTGTTTTGGTGTATTCTTGGAAGTGTAGAAGAGAAGGAAAGAGGGAAGGTGCAAAGGAGAAGAAGGAGATCCAGAAGCTAGCTTCCATTTGCTACTTCATCTGGTAATAAAGCCTCTACCTTGTTCATTTTCCTAGTAGTTCTTCATATATGCTTGTTTTGCCACTTTTGGGACATTTCAAGGTCCAAACTCGAGATTGGAGCTCCCTTAGGGTAGTGAACGATAGATCTGGACATCATTGAGCTCCAGGAGCTCAAAGTAGCTACCTTTATGCAAAGCAAGGCCTTGTTCCAAACCCTAGGTTCCCATTTCTAACTTATTTTGGTGTATTAGCTTCATACCTCTATGCATGTACGTAAAGTTGGCAACTTTACGTGTTATATCGGCCCTAGAAGCTCAGATCTATGAATGGGATGAATTGGAATCGATTAGAATCAACTGTATAGTGAAGACATGCATAGGACTCGACGAGTCGTTCATTGGACTCGGCGAGTCGGAGCGTAAACTCCCGATTTCTCCGATTTCTCCGATTTGAGAGTCCGTAGTAGGACTCGGCGAGTAGAGTCAACCTAAAAGTTGACTCTGACCAGGACTTTGACTTTGACCAGGGGTAAATTGGTCATTTACCCCATGAGGAATCATCAGCTGATTCAGAATGTTATGTGATTGTAGCCGGGGAGTCGCCGGAGCAGCAAACAGGGATTTCTCACTCGGGATATCAGCAGCCAATTATACGAGGTGAGTTCTCCTTCAGTAGGAACAGGTCTACGGCACCAAGGCCGGCCCGCAGTATGATATGATAGTAGCTGAGTGTGGGTGGGGCCCGTATCCTATCTTAGCAGAGTGTGGGCGAGGCCCGTATCTCATAGTAGTAGTGGATTTTGATGTAGGAATAGTATATTAGCTTTACATGTTGTATGTGTGATACTTGTATGATGGGTTTAGTAGTTGAGTGTGGGCGAGGCCCGTACCACAGAGATAGTGGAGTGTGGGTGAGGCCCGTATCTCCTAGACAGTGGAGTGTGGGCGAGGCCCGTATCTCCTAGACAGTGGAGTGTGGGCGAGGCCCGTATCTCCTAGATAGCAGAGTGTGGGTGGGGCCCGTGTCTCCCAGTTAGCGGAGTGTGGGCGAGGCCCGTATCTCCACGAGTGTGGGCGAGGCCCATATCTCCTAGATACATGCTATGTGTAGATGGTATGTGGTAGATTGGGGAGACTCACTAAGCTTTGTGCTTACTGCTTTCAGTATTGGTTTCAGGTACTTCCACTAGCACTGGGAGGGGTTCGGGATGATCGCATGACACACACCACAGTCTTCAGCCTGGGAGTTAGACTCTGATATTTGGATATGAGATTTTGATTTGAGACAGATACTATGATGTTTATAATACATGATTTTACTTATGATTTTGGATGGTTTATGGATTTAATAATGGTTTAAAACGAAATTTTTGGACTGTATTTTTGGGATGTTTCAGTATGTTAGTTGTCTCTGTGATACTTGCACGGAAGACCCCGTGAGGAGCCCGAGGCAATTGCATATGAGACCATGGGGGGAGCCCATGGCATTCCAGGTAAAGACTATGGGGGGAGCCCATGACATACCAGATAAAGACCATGGGGAGATCCCATGGCAACTATATATATGTGTGTGTGATAATCTATGATTGTATTATTATGGTATTTTGGGGAACTCACTAAGCTTTGTGCTTACGGTTTTCAGTTTATGTTTCAGGTACTTTAGTTTTCTAAGGAAAGAGCTCGGGACGATTGCAGGGCACACACCACATGTTTCCACATTCTGTGAATTACTTTGATTTGTTGATGTTTTTGCTAACTCTTGGTTACCTTGGTTTCATGGGAAATAAATGTATTAACGATTTATTAATCTAAAAACAAAAAATTTTATGTCATGATTTTCGGGACGTTTCACGAACTAGTAGTGTCATTCATAAACATAAAAGGCCTAAAATTGATGATGCCGAAAGCTATTATAAAGAAGCAACAGAAGAAATGAATAAGACTTTCATGGTGGTTAGTGAGAAACTTACTAAAACGGTATACAATATAGGAAGACAAGAAAATAAAGAATCATGCAATAGATAAAATTATAGAAGATAAACAATGTATACCAAATATTAATGTCAAAACAACAAATTAAGGCGACGGACATATTTAGTAAAGATCCATCCCGCTAACGATCGTTATGGAAGATAAAAATATTTGTTACATGGAAATGATAGCAAATGGGCAATATCATGAATAAGCTATTTTTAATTATGTTTTTTTACTTGTTACGAATATTAAATTTGACTTTTACACATCCTATATTGGATATAATTTTGCTTTTTAGTTTTTAGGAATATTGAATTTGACTTTTTGCACATCCTATATTCGATATAGTTTTTAAATAGTATAATTTTCATATTTCTTTATGTTTGTAGCTATTTGTAACTTATTCTATTAGAAATATGTTTTCCAATACAAGATGTATATATAAAATAATATTAATTGAAAATAAAATAAAATATTTGTAAACAAGTAGACTTAAAATGAAAAATTATAAACAAAAAACATACAAAACAAGAGAAATGATTTTGAATTTAAGAAACATTTATTTACTTCTTAGATCTATAAAACAATGAAATCAATTCTTTTGGACATTTAAATTCTCTGCTATTTCATTTCTCCTTATCAAACATAAGGGCCTAAGACTATATGCATATTATAATCTATTTCAAGCTTCTCTTTCTACAAATTTGAAATTTTATAAATAAAAATCAACAAAAATAAAAGCCACGAAATTTTAGAATGAACACTTGTATATTAATGTCGAATTATGTCGGTATTATCCTATTCATTTATGGTGGTAATTAGGCAAAATGTTTAATCTGTAAGTCAAACCAGTTGTGACTACTGCAACCGTGATATTTCAGCTGTAACTGGTCTATTCATTTTTTTGTACATATGTGGATTATTTTTTAATTTATAAATTAAATCAACGAGAAGGATATATGAGCATTATTATTGGCATTTATAAAAGAAAGAGAAATCAGTAGTTTCTGGCAGAAGAAGAAAGAAATGATGAGCCAGGAAGAAGAGATGGGTAACAGGAAAAATAAGCAAGAAAATGATGATGATGATGATCATGAAAACGACATGGTGATGCCGGGCTTTAGATTTCATCCAACGGAGGACGAGCTTGTAGAGTTCTACCTTCGCCGTAAGGTAGAGGGCAAGAGATTCAATGTTGAACTCATCACTTTTCTTGATCTTTATCGTTATGATCCTTGGGAACTTCCTGGTATACTTTCGATTCTCCCCTTCTTTACTTAAACCTAGCTATTTAGCTATCTACCTACCTTCAGTTTACTTCGTCTCTTTATTCATTCTGCTATGATTCTTATCAGATCACTCATTTTTTCACTACAATTTTCTCGTCACCGTAAACTAAACTGCCATCCTCATCATCATATCATATCGTGGTCCTCTACTTTTTTATCCGGTGAATGAGGATGTGGGTGTCTTTCTTTCTTGACCATTTTTTGTGGGTATTTAGTAGAATTTAGTGTGTTGTTCTAATTTTAAATCTGTAGTAGTTGAATTTGGCCAAATTACACGTATTCGTCATCGGCATAATCACGTTTCATCATGAGTCATGACTCTCATCTCCTTCTGGTCGAGCTAATGATGATGCATGCGCAATTTTCAAGGGTATTTGCTAGGTGCTCGCGGTTATTTTTCATTATTTAATAACTAAATTGCGTAAAATTACGTGCTTTTGTGTGTACTGAGATTTCTCCTTCGTTCGTTGTGTACCTTTTGTTTCATCGCTCCAATTACAACATGGCCTTAACCGAGGTGCAACATTCATCATATATAATCTGTCATCTTTTCAGTTAGCGCAACTGTATTTTTTGTTTGTGTTGTCCATGATTTTGCAATTTTCTTATAATTTGATGGATTATGATTATCTGGGTTAGCAAATTGTTCATTTTCTTGGTCCTGGAGCTCACGCTATTTTTAGTTTGTTTAAATCTTAATTAGATTAATACCCTGATGTTTATCGATCCATGTATTTATCCATACAGGTGGATATTGTATAATTCATTTTTTTTTCTTGTTTTACATGTTGTTTTAGCATTGGCAGCAATTGGAGAAAAGGAATGGTTTTTCTATGTTCCAAGAGATAGGAAGTACCGCAATGGGGATCGCCCAAACCGTGTGACAACTTCCGGTTATTGGAAGGCCACTGGAGCTGATAGAATGATCCGAACTGATAATTTCCGGTCCATTGGGTTAAAGAAGACCCTCGTTTTTTATTCTGGAAAGGCTCCCAAAGGCATTCGAACAAGTTGGATCATGAATGAGTATCGGTTGCCTCAACATGAAACTGAAAGGTTACAGAAGGTACCAATGAGTTCTCTTCAACTAACTCTTAATTATTATTATTATTATTATTTTAAAGAACGGCGACGATTTAACATCTGTCCTTGTTAGAAAAATTAAAAAACTTTGTGCTCCAAGGTTTCGAACACTCGAATCAAATGAGTAAAATGGTTATAAACAGAAAAATGTGAACTTATTTTGAAGTGAAAGGAAATCTGACTCAAGATGCCTTCAACTTAATGAATGTTGGTTCTCAATTTGTTCCTCACAATATTTAATTAAAGTGATAAAACAAACGTATATAAACTGCTGAACCATGTCACCGCTAACTTTAAATGCAAGTCTCTTTCTGCTCATCATTATGATCACCGCTAGCTTTAAATGCATGGATTAATTTATTTTTTGATTTTTGTAGGCCGAGATTTCACTGTGTAGGGTCTACAAACGAGCTGGAGTAGAAGACCACCCATGTCTCCCTCGCACCCTCCCAACGACTAGGGCTTCAATATTATCTGCAAGAGCTTCTAATGCGGACAAGAAGCAACATTCAAAGAAGTTGTTAAGTTTCCAGTCCTGTTTGGAACAACAACAAGGCCAAAGTTCAAACCAGCAAAATGACGAAAAATTAAGCGAAACGAGTGGTAGTAGCACCACGGACATTGTTGGAACCGCTCTTGGCCTCTCCAGTCCTATCAACCCCTCTAACTACAACAACTTTATTACTTCATTTCCGCCCATCACCACCACACTTCCACCACATGTACATCTACATACGGCCTCTTTGGTCTCCTCCACGTCCTCCTCGGTATTCCCAACCACTGTTGATGATCTTCACAGAATTCTAAGCTATCAACAAGCTTCTGTCAATAATCCATCATCTCAGGCTTTTCATCATATCCAAAATTATCAACATAAAATTTCTACTACTTTTCTTCCACAACCACAACCACATCAACTGCCACCACAACCACAATCACAGCATCAACTGCAAATGCAACCGCATTCACAAGGACTTGTTGCTCTTAATAACATGGCAGGAGAGGTTCACGTCACTTTTCCTGATAGGTTTTGGGATTGGAATCCCATGCCCAGCTGCGAGGGAAGCAAGGATTATACCAACTCTTTCAAGTAATTATATATATATATATATATATATAATATATATATTATATATATATATATATATATATATAATGAGGAACTTAAATGAGAGACTATGATTTTTAATATTGGCTTTCATATGGCCATGCTTAGTTGGAGACAATATATATGTGTAAGCTAATTACATAACTTGTAGCATGTGGTAGCTGACATGCTTTATGCTAATTCATAATATTTTAAAGACATATGTATTGCATAATAGGGTTTAGAAATTATGTTTCTTATGGCTTGTGTCTTTGTGATCCATTTGTAATTTTGCTGGAGCTAAGCTTCCATCAGCTACAGACCTTATATATGTATGTTGTATGTATAGGGTAGATGTTAAACTATGATATCTACTTCACACTTTTTCCCAAGGCATATATAGTATTTCCTTAAGACTTCCAAATTAGTTACTGGTTGCTCGTTTACTCCACTTCATTGTTTGTTTCTCATGTGTTGATAAATGAGGACATAAAACAAACAAGTGAATCATGAAACACTGCATATTTAGTTGTTTTATGTCTTGCTGAACAACATGCACAAGAACAAATTACCTAGTGATTTGTTGAGGTTCCTACTTGCCTCAAAGGACAATCTGTCAGCTCTTAAAGCGACACACATGACTAAGATGCAAGATAAACAAACACGACTTACTTAAGTACCTGATTCCAGAATTAGGGTAATTTTAATACGTTGAATGCGCAAAAACTAGAGAGATCTTTCACTTACAAGAAAATGAGAATTCTTGAGCCCTTGAATTCCGGCTGTCTTCACGGCACTCAAGTCCCTCAGAAAACAATTAATCTCCACAACTCTCAACACCTCAAACCCTAAATGATCGATGCCTATTGCCTTAGAGCCTTGAAGAAGCTAATATGTCCGATAACTTATTTGTTTTTCTAGCGGAAATATATATAATTTGTTTTTCAAGAGTCACTTCATCGGTGATAATATTTTTGGAATTAATCTAAACATTTGAAGTTAATATGTTGAGCCCAATTACAGCCTTGATGATGTTATTGGGAAAACCTTAGGACAACGCACCGTCTATATATGCACTGGTCTGATATAAAGAAGACACGTACCTTCAATTTGCTTGAACATTAATGCATTGATCAACACAACTCTTCATTCTCTTTCGGGAAAAACTGCAAAAGCAAACACTTTGTTGTTTTAGCTAAATTTTCACATCTGGTATGGAAGAAAACTAAATCTACCACCTTGACCCAATTCGCTTATTAAACTACTAGCGTAGTATAAGGTATTTAATTAAGCAGCATATTCTCAGAGTTATTTTGGATTACAAAATTATGAATCATGTGCATGATTCAGCTTTTTGATTTCAAAAGCCCCAACCATTTTTGCATCAAAAGGACGTTGTCAAACCATCTGATCTTGGACTTGAAAGAGTTGCCTGAATTGGTTTTATTTCTATACGTACATACATCAACAACAATTTCCTGTTAACCGAAACTTCGTGGGGCTGAACTTTAACACACAAAAACGATTGGGCTAGCTAGCTGCCTTACTTCTGGTATCATATTTTAATTCCGTTCACATTAACAAATTTTATTTAAAACTTACGTCACCACAAAAAGATATTAGAATGCTACACTAGACTTGAACATTCGAACTCATTTCCATCTCATAAATCATAACCACCGTCAAAACTATTTTAGTTTTCCTAATCCAGTAATTCTCATCACAAAACCACCTTGGAAAACGTGTAAAAGCTGGGGATATTCTGGAGAAGGTGAAAAGTATGTTGAACTGATGAAGGCGCAAAACAACAATGGAGGATAACGATGGATTTTACGACTTTGAAGTTTCGGAGACTGTAGGGACATAGCTAATTGATGAAAACATAAGGAAGATGGAAGTGATCAATTTTTCAAGTCTTTTTTGACAACTCCCACTACATTCCATCTAGGGTTCTGGTCCAGTCGAATGAGGGGAGATAGTAGCTGAAAAGTCTTCCTTGACTTAGGGTAGGGTTGGGCTAAAGCCTAAATTATCATTATTGCTTGTTCTCTGGCCCCGGACGGCCGCATGGTTCGGGTGTGCCTTATCCCATGACTGTCCCATGTTTTACAATTGCAGCTCTAGTTTCAATTTTTTTTAACCATATTTATATATAGAAAAAATAATACCAAAAATAGTTTATTACTATCATCTAGTGTGTACCATAACCTTAGATGCAGCATGACGTCAAAATGATGTAGAAGCATACAAAAACCATACTAAAGTTTGACATTAAATAGTGTGATGTTATAATAATTAAATAGTAGTTAATTTTGTGTAACATTATTGAGTACACCACATTTCAGTTTAACATTTGTCTCTAAACCGAGTTCACTAAAAAAAGTATAGGCATTAACGGCGACGCCCCAAAAGTCGCCCCTAAATGTATTATATACTACTAGAAACTTGGGTTTGAGCTACCGATTTAGAGAGGGATTTATTCCGTTGCAAATGTTAGGCTTATAGAAAGGGAATTACGAGAGATCTACGATGGTTTAGACAATTGTTTTATTTATTTAACATATAACATATTAGAGAGGGTTTAGAGAGGGATCAGCTACGGATCTCACAAAGTGTTTTATCAACGCACCCTTATTCCTCAGTAATTGGTGGAAAACGAATGGATTTGGCGAGGGTTCAACGTGGGAAAAAAATTGTCAACTTTTTGCCATCTGGTACGTGTTTAGGGAGAGAATGCCGACGGAGCATACGCACGTTATTTTTTTTCAATTGACGATCTCTCGCTGAAATTGGCGCAATCCAATTCCATTTTCACAACGTTTGTGTAAGTTTCCTTCCCTCCCATATTTGCTTTATCACTTCAATTAAACACGCATGACTCTCGAGTTGCAACTTAACCTAATCTCACCCTCTCCCTTCAAACAGATGACGACACCATGGACCATTGCAGCTTCCGATTCCGACAGCCTCCACATTCTTAAAATCTAAAATTATTCTTCGTTAACTTCCGATTCAGGTAAATCTCTTGATTTTATTTGCTTTAGTCATATATTAGGTTAGGATTGGTTCAGTTGCACAATATATTATGTTAGGATTTAATTTCTCCATTTTTTCCCATTTTTCAATTGTCGTTCCTTTTTATATCGATTGCATCTATATTAGAATAGATACTTAGAATTAGAACTTAATTTGGGGTTTGATTGATTGCTTTAGTCATATGTAAGCCTGGCAGCATAAGTTATGTGCATCAAAGCTTCACCCTGAAGCTCTCCTGTCATCTCTGTACATGCATCCACAAGCTCTGCAACAAGCCTAACATCACCAGTTTCATAGGAAATGATTGTTTGAATGGAGAAGAGTCACTACCCATCTCATAGTTGTAAGATGAACTGCTTCATCAAAAAATTAAGTTATCAACTTGGAGGAGACAATCTTATGCCATTGTTCAAGAAGCTCTTATGATGTAATGGTCACAACTAGTTCAGTTAGCATCTCAAGCAACATGTAGGCGACACATTATGATATGCATGGGTTGTTTATCAACTAATGTTCTACTTGTGTTTTCTTATTCACATTTACATACTTCACCCCATGATTTAGAATTACACCTTTTTCAGATTCTACACCTTCATCCAAACCATATGACTGTTTTACAATATGCATCTTGCTAGTAACTCGATAGATGCCCCTAAAAATACACATAATATAGCAAACAACACTCCAAGAACAGAAAAAATATAAAATACTGTAACATTCCGTTTGAAATTGAGTAACTAAATAATAAACCTCGAACCCCAAGATGTAAATTTATAATTTTATATCACTTTATAGTAGCCCTAAAATCCATAATAGTAGCGAGGTGTTGGTTTCAGGGAGCCAAATGATATAATTTGGATTTTCGAGGCTTAAAGTATAATTCCGAGATTTATTTTGTACAGATTTTCAAAAGCCAGGGGTTGTTTGGTAAATATTAGACCTAAATTGAAAGGATTTTTGAATGTTGAGGGATGAATTGGTAAATGTTGGATTTACGTAGAAAGGAATTGAGATGGAGAGGCTAGAAGTGTAAATATATATGGGGGAAGTTGCATATGACCAGGCATATAAACCCATCACCCATGTGTGTTGGATTAATATCTAAGTCCATAACTATTTTGGTATGTACTTGACCCGATTGTGAGCATGGTCCTTGGGTTGCCTTCACCAAAGCAACTTGATAGGATGATTTGTGAAGAAAGAGATTAATTATGATTTATTAATATATTATATGAATTATATATTAAAAGAGAAATCATATTGTTTAATTAATATTAGTCAAGACTTAATAAGAATTAATTTTGTGGCTAAAAGACATTAATTAAATAAAGGGGACTAGAACTGTCAATTGTGTGATAGTTGGATATTGGGCTAATGGACTCCATAGAGGTTGGAGTGGACGAAATCTATGGGGAAACCCATGAGAATTCGTCCAAGGCCTCTAAGGAGGGAGTCCATGGGCTGCTTAGGGCCTAAGCAGTCATATTAGGGTTTCCTAGTTCAAAACCCTAATGACCTCCATATATAAAGACCCCTAGGGCACCTAAAAATGTGGCTAAGCATTCCTTAGGGTTTCTTAGACGTTTTTGGTTCCTCATTCTCTTCTCCTAAGTCATCCTCTTACTCTTGGTATTTGTGAGCAGTTAGAGGAGGACACTTGTGACTCTAAGCTTTCAGAAGCCGATTACAAGAAGGAATAGATTGTTATTGCTACATAACAATCAAAGGTAAGATCTAAAACCCTTTATTATAATAATATTGATTGTTGTATGCTATATTAGGGTTCTTGAGTCTTGGATGAATTGCATGTACCATAGAGAAACCTAGATCCAAGCATTAGGGTTTGCATGAGCACATAGGATGTTCTTTTGTATAAAACTCATCAGTGGTATCAGAGCCTTGATTGGTTTCTATTGTATTGATGCTTAGTGTTTCATTCTTGATTGCAAAGTCGAGTTTTTGGCCATCTGC